GTGAACTGTCTTTAAGAAGATCTACAACATTGTTTAGGTTGGAATATACTCAAGTTATTAAGTGAGCACTTGCATTCAAGTCCTTCATTGATGATGCTGACTTCTCTAAATACAATCTTTCCAACATGATTGCTATGGATGAAACTGCAGTGTTTATGGGCCAATCATCTCAAACAACAATTGAACAGCGGGGTGCCTCCTTAATGTACATTCCCTCCACTGCTTACGAAAGTGCACGTGTTTCTTGTATTTTGGCAATTCGTCTGGATGGCACTAAAATTCCACCTTTAATCATTTCTAAGGGCAAGAAGGAAAAGATTGAACATTTTTGGGGCATTTTTATTCTTGAAACTGAAAAAGCCTGGGCCACACAAGCAGTTATAAGGAAGTGGGTCGATTTAATGCTGCCGCTTGTTATGCGAGGGAGCCAAAGAGGTCTGCTAGTCTGGGATGCAGCTAGCATTCACTGCGCTAAAGACATAAAGACATTTCTTCATGAAAGAAAAATAGATCAGATAATGATTCCCACAGGAATGACGGCCTATCTCCAGACTCTTGATATTGCAATAAACAAGCCATTCAAAGACAATTTGCACATGGAAATTAATGACTACATTGAACATAGAATGGAGAGAAATCAGCGTGGAAACTTTGTGAAACCTAAACTACAAGAAGTTGTGACTTGGGTGAAGAATTCATGGGAGAAAATCACTGACAGTTGCATTGCAAATGCACTGCAAGCAGGCTACCTTTACAAGAAGTACTCATTTAAAGACAGTTCTATTGCTAAACATGAGAGATTTGGTCCACTGATTCTGAAAGAAATGGAGTCACAAGAAATTCATCAGGAAATTCAGGAATTGGATTGTTATGATGATGTTCCAGAAGATGATGACATGATTGTCAATGAATAAATGAGTAAATTCTTGATACTGTAGGATTCACAGTTTGTCTGGTTTGTGTTGACAACTACCGTACTACCGTTCCATATACAGGTAATAAATTTCCTTTATTTTCATTTAACAATAAATGTGTACTGTATTCTTCTTCATGGAAATATAAGACATGCCCTGAAAATAAGACCTAGCGCATTTTTGGGAGCAAAAATTAATATAAGACACTGTCTTATTTTCGGGGAAACAGGATACTAACTCATTCTTCTTTCACCAAGCATGCTTTACTCCAGGTTTTTACATGATCCAGTAATACGGAAAAGTGACTATTATAAAATTTGATCTGAAGATATACTGAGAAAGTAAAAACAAAAAACAAAACTAAACAGCAAATGCTATTGCCCCCTTCTACCTTGCTTCATCTATCTTGACAATACAGTGTCCCATCTGACTGCATGGACCACATGAGTAGACTATGGAGACCTGCTGAGCCATGGTTTATAACCCCTTGAAACAACTTAATGTCCATTTAAAGGCAAAGTTAACAGAATCATTTTCCTTTTCTAAACCAACTTGAAGTACTGTCCACATAATAGCTGTATGTGTGCAGCCACTCATGGCATAAAACACCCTCTAAATTATATTTCTTTTTACTTCTCAGTATTCTTAATACCCTGCTCTCATCTGTTTTTGTTTCATTCCTAACAACTTTCTTTTGGGAAACCCTTGGAGAACAAATTTCTTTCCAGAGGCCTAAAACTCTCCAATTCTCTCCATACAGTTGATGATCAGTTTATAGTTTTATTTTACCCTACACACAAGCTAGTAAATCTGTCACTGTCTCGTGGATGCTGAAGACACATGATTCTTGGGTCAGAGAGAAAGGACTTTATCACTCACAGCACATCAAGCAGTGTGAGACCCAGTATATTTGTGTCGGTTCCCCAGAACAATGCACAGGGCCCAGAAACTCTTAACATTCGCGATGAGTTAAGTTACAAAGAAAGGAACACTGAGCTTTGGGAACCCACCACTTTTATAGCAAGCCGTGAGTAAATCTGCTAAGCCTGATGTTGGTCCTAGACAAAAACATTCTCTCATTCCTGAAGGTTTCTCATCACAACCCTGAGAAATGGCCAGGACAAAGGAGTGTCATTTAGACCTTATATCCCTCAACAAAAATTATCTCAAAATGGATAATAGAAAATGCAAACCTAAATAGACCTAAATAGAAAATGCAAAACTGAAAGTCTTCTAGAAGATAACATTGGAGAAAACCTAGACAAACTTGGGTATGGCAATGACTTTTGAGATGCCATGTCAAAGGCACAATTCATGACGGAAATAATTGATAAGCTTCTACTCGGTGAAAGACAATGCTAAGAGAATGAAAAGCCACAGACCAGGAGAAAATATTTGCAAACTATATATCTGAAAAAGAACTGCTATCCAAAACATACAAAGAACTCTTAAAACTCAACAACAAGGAAATGAACAACCCGATTTAAAAATGGGCCAAAGACCTTACGAGACACCTCACCAAGGAAGATATGCAGATGGCAAACAAGCATATGAAAAGATGCCCCACATCATATGTCATCAGAGAAATGTGAATTAAAACAACAGTGAGATACCTATAGGTATCTCACACCTATAGGAATGGTCATATTCAGAACACTGACACCACCAAAATCCTCATGAGGATGTGGAGCAGCAGGAGGTCTCATTCACTGTTGGTGGGAGTGCCAAGTGGTTCACGTTGGAAGTGAAGACAGTTGAAAGGCTTCTTACAAAACTAAACATACTCTTACTATACAACCCAGCAATAATGCTTCTTAGTATTTACCCAATGAGACAAAAACTTATGTCCACTCAAAAATCTGTGCTTGAATGTTTACAGTGATTGCCCAAACTTGAAATCCACCATGACATGATGTCCTTCAGTAGGTTAATGGGTAAATAAACTGTGGTACATCTAGACAATGGGATATTATTCAGCACTTAAAAAAAAAAAAAAAGTGAACTGTCAAGCCATAAAAAGATGTGGAGAAAACTTAAATACATATTATGAAGGAAGTCGATCTGAAAAGGCTACATACTGTATGATTCCAACGATATGACATTCTGAAAGAGGTGTGACTATGGAGACAGCAAAAAGATGAGTGGTTGCCAGGGATTGAGGGGAAAAAGCAATGAACAGGCAGAGCACAGAGGATTTTTAGGACAGTGAAAATAGTCTGATACCACAACATAATGCTTCATGTCATTAAACATTTGTCCAAATCCATAAAACGTACAACACCAAGAGTGAACCCTAAGGCAAACTATGAACTCTGAATGATTATGATGTATTAATATAGTTTTTTTTTGGTACGGGGTAATGGGGAGGGGGGGCATGTGTGGGGTCAGGGGCATATGGGAAATCTCTGTATTTTCCCCTCATTTTTTTCTCTCAACCTAAAACTGCTCTAAAACGGTAGTATCAATTTTTTAAGTATCAAGGGTGTGGGGGGGGGGGGAAGGGCCTTACATTCTTAGGACACTTGCAAGATGTGTAAGAGAGTAAGAAGCCCCGGAGCCCTGCTGGTGTGGCTCAGTTGGTTGGGTGTTGTCCCTTGCATGGAAAGGTTGCCAGTTGGATTCCGGTCAGTAAACATGCCCAGGTTGCAGCTAGATCTCTGGAAGGGGATGTGCAGGAGGCAGCCAATCAATGTTTCTCCCTCTTTCTCTGTCCCTTCCTCTCTCTCTAAAAATCAATTTAAGCTGAAACCGGTTTGGCTCAGTGGATGGAGTGTCGGTCTGCAGACTAAAAGGTCCCAGGTTAGATTCCGGTCAGGGGCATGTACCTTGATTGCGGGCACATCCGCAATGGGGGGTGTGCAAGAGGCAGTTGATCGATGATTCTCTCTCATCAATGTTTCTAACTCTCTATCCCTCTCTCTTCCTCTCTGTAAAAAAAAAAAAAAAAACAAAACAATAAAATGCATTAAAAATAAAAAATTAAATTAAAATAAAAAGAAACCCAAAGAGCATGGCTCTCTCCCCAGCAATCTACTATTTCTTCTCCCCCGCCCCCCGTGTTGTAAGATGGTTGTCTATTGTTCCTAAGTCACACTAAGATCCATGAGTACCTTTTCCAAAAGGAAATCTTTTGCAACTGAATCTTTAAAAAAAAAAAAAAAAAAAGCCAAACAAACAGACCTAGTTCTAAACTATAATTGACTGAGTTTAATTTGCATAGACAAATTCAAGTTTTCCCACATTATCAAAAACAGAGCTGGTGAGCCGAAACCGGTTTGGCTCAGTGGATAGAGCGTCAGCCTACGGACCAGCTGCTTTACTTACTTGCCTATTTTGCTCTCAAAAAAACTAGTCAATCACAATTTCTTTATTCATGAATCAGTTGTGTTTTCCTCTAAGACATTACGGATATTCTTGGTTTTAGAATTCAGTGGATTATCCCATGGGAGGAAGAAAGTGACTCGACTGAACATTCTCAAATCTTTTTAGGTCTATACTGCCCAATCCAATAGCCATTAGTCCCATATGGCAATTTAAATTTAATTACAATTAAATAAATTTTAAAAATTAGATCCTCAGTTATGCTAGCTATACTTCAAGTGGCTGCTACACCGCACAGCACAGATTTTGACCATTTCCATCATCGCACAAGGTTCTATTGAACTTATTGGACCATTTTTATATAAGGGGCTACTTATAAAAATAGGTTACAAATTTTAGCTAACAAATACGGTCTTCTTCAATACTCACATGCTACCACCTAGCACTAGTAAGTTACTTATATTCTTTTTGTCAATGCGGTCTACACTAACTTAAATACTGACCTTTATTGAATATGGTTTTAATTGTAATGTAATAATATTACAACTAAATAATCTCTTTTTTAAATCTTGTTTGTAGCAGAATACAGTGAGTATGCAAAAATGTAGCCTTATATTATTTGTTAATTATTGTATTATTTATTATTCTTTACCTACTTTTGCCCACCCCTATAAGTGACTGGGAAGCATAATGAAAGTACTTCAATAATAGTAATAATGCAATCAATAAGCAATTCAACATGGAAAATATCTTCAAGAAACTCACCCCCCTTCACTTTCCGCTTCCTCTGAACTGTTGCTTGTTCCTGAACTTTGAACTGTGGTAAGCCTTCTTTTCCTAGCTCTGTGCTGAGGACTGATCCTATGAGCAGTTGCCTTTCCTCCAAGCTCACCGCGTACACATTCCTCCAGCTTTGGAATGGTTTCTTTAAGAATTCTGATTTCCTCTCTGAGTTCTTCCATATTTGTCAGTAATTCGTTTAACTTCTCCAGTATCTGAAACTGCCTTCCTTGAAAGATCGCTGCTGTTCCTTGATCCTTCTGCATCTCATCTTGCAAAGTCACTGAATCAAATGCATTACCCAGAGTAAGGAATTTAGGTAAATGCATTGCTGTCTTTGGTTTACAAACCTTGAGGTACCACAAAAGAAGCAAACTGATTCCAGTAGTTCCCACCATGATTCCAAGTACCAGTTCTTTGTTTGTGGAATGAGGCATTTCTTGTCTTTCTGTCTGTTTGTTTCTAAAATTAAAAAGCATAAATGTAAATGAATGCTGTCTCAGACTTTGTACAAAACAGAGCTTTTTAAACAGCAAAATCCAAGTCTATATCATCACACAGACACAAAAAATAATTGATAAATCATAAATCATAAACTAAAATGTATTACCTTTATAATGGATGTGGCCCAGTGGAAATATTTACTTTAAGGATATTATTGAAGTCCCTTGTAAAGTATCAACGTATTCTACATGACTAATCTGACATTTTCTCTACCATATCTTTGTAAAGGGTGTGATAGAGGTAAAAGCATCATCATAAATTTCTGGGGGGAAAAACTATTTATGAATTAAAATTATGCTTAACTGTGTTTGAACCTTCTATTTGTATAAAATTAATTAGTACTGTATGCTGATGTCCAGGTCTTATCTAATCTTATCTAACCAAAAAGAAGCTCTTCCTTAGCACCTTGTTCACATTTGTATTTGTATTTAGAGTGCTAAACACTTTAAAACTCCAGAGCTTTGAGGTTCAAAATATATTAGAGAACTTTGGCAAGTTTCTAACCCAACTCCCATATCGTTTTTTTCAACATGGAAAGCAGAGATGCTAACATAGGTACAGCCTTCATCTCCTTCCTTCCTAGGACCCAGAAATCTTCTGCTGCTTACATTTCTATTTCTGTCTGGGTCTTAATGTTTTCCTTTCTTTCAAATTTTAACTTAAAATGTTTTCAATTGGTTTTAGAAAGAGAGAAAGCGGAGGGGAGAGAGAGACATAGCTTTGTTGTCCCACTTATTCCTGCTTTTATTGGTTGCTTCTTGTACGTGGCCTGACCAGGGATCATGCAACGTTGGCATTGGGGGGGACGACGCTCTAACCAACTGAGCCACCCTACCAGGGCTCAAAGTTTAACTTTTTAAAAAAGTAACAAGAAGTCATTTAATTGACTCTGTTCTCCTGAAATGTCACCCTTCTGCATTCAAGCTTTGGCCCACCTGATTCCATATAACCACAGCTCCTTTGACTAAAGGCACCTAATCATTCTTTAGTATATCCCATCTTCACTAGTCTTATTGCTTGTCTCTGTTCTAAAAGTCAAAAGACCATTAAAGGAAAATAATAACTTTCCTTCTGAGATGTTAAAATGGCACTCAGTATATCAGCACTATGATGAATTTATGTAATTAAGAGTAAAATGTAGTAAGGCTTTTTTACAGACTGAGAAGTTCCCCAAATGGATTTCCCATCAATTCCCCCTATTTTGTATTAAATTTTGTGAGCAAGTTGGGAGAACATTACAAATAATGGTAAACTGTCTATGCTAGAACATAAAATTTGTAAATTGTTTTATTTTTCCCGACACTTTCTAAAGCAGATCATTACAGCCCTACCCCCTATGATCCCTGAGGAAAAGGAAACAAAGGAGGTAAATTCTTTAATCCCCCAAATTTGTAATTAAAGGGGAAAACCAACCAGAGCCTGAGTTGGCCAGAGATCAGAGTTCAGAAGAACTGAAGCGCCTACAGTCTGTGTGGCATGCCCCTGAGGATGACGAGGGATGCAGAGAAAGAGCTCCAGAAATAGGTATTGGAGTCTCCTTAACCCTGTGATTGAACACCAGTGAGCACCTGCACGGAGTCAAACCCCATCGGGCCAGGCAAAGAACCATTCCCTGGAGTTGTTAGCTTAACCATTCCTAAAGATGACACAGAACTGGGATGTGTTTTAGTTCAGTGCTTATAAAATGCGTGAGGCTTTCAGCAGGGCAAGCCTTGGCAACCCTTAGTAGTGGGCTTAACTAACCCTAGAGTTAAGGTGATTTAGATTTGCCCTCAGACAGCTTTTAAAATGGTCTTTAAATTAAAGGATCAAACTTATTTTTAAGTAACTTAACTGCCTTCAAGAGAGAGAGAAAAGGTCAATACTCTTTAAAGTAGTAAAAAAAAAAAAAAAAAAAAAAAAAAACAGATCTCAACAACATAAAAATCAGTGTTGATCATCCAATCAAAAAGTACTAAGCATGTAAAGAAGCAGAAAAATGTTAAAACTACTATTACAAATATGCTCACTATTTAATATAAATATTAAATGTATGTTAACAGAGGCCCTGGCCAAGGTTTCAGGTTCAATCCCCAGTCAGGGTACATAGAACCAACCAGTGAATGCATAAATATGTGGAACAACAAATGATGTTTCTCCTGATCTCTCTGCCTCTGTCTAAAATCAATCAATAAAAGAATTATTTTACAATTTATTAACTATATTATTAGATATAAATATTATTCTGGTTACAAGATTCAATTTGTAATGACAATGGAAAATGACAGACATTATATTAATTTAAATTTTTGCCATCTGAAATTAATGTGTAATATATTAATTAAAGGTTATTCAGAGATGAGAATCAAGAATTTTACTGAAATAGATCAAAATGTTGACTCAAAAAAAATTTTTTTAACTTTGTTATGTTGACACTATTACAGATGTCCCCATCCCCATCCCCCTTTGCCCACCTCCTCCCAGACCCCTCCCCCTTCAGCCTGGCCATCACTACACTATAGTCTGTGCATATAAATTCTTTTGCTAATCCCTTCACTTTCTTTCATCCAGTCTACCCTCCCCACCTCCTCTCTGAGGGCTGTCTGTCTGTTTACTTGGCTCATTAAATTCCACACATACATTAAATCATGTAGTTTTTGTCGCAAAAGAAATGTAATATTAAAATTTCTTTGTAGACAGTCACAAAAAATTAACTTCAGAAAACATTTAATTTTTGTGTTCTAGTTTAAATGAACTTTTAAGTAAAAGTTATACTTTACTAAGTTCATTATAATGCTCTCAGCAATATCTAACACATATTCACTTAATTCATCAGCAGATTCTTAGGGGAATTACATAAAATATGTAACTGATAAAGCCAAGGGATGAATGAAAAATCTTGCAGGAGGAGGAGGGGGAGAGGGAGGGTAATGGGACATTCTGGGTTAAGGACAAGCCTGAGGTTTAAGATTCCCAAGGAATCGCTCTACGATCTTGAATTAGCGATCAGATTTCCTACAGCGGCCTGGATAATGTGATCCTGTTAAGTGTATTCTAACACTCATATTTCACCATGTTTTTTCATTTATTATTATTATTTGTTTGTTTTTTATTTATTTTAAATTTTTTTTAATTTTTTTTAATTTTTTTTTTTTTTGAGAGAGAGAGAGAGAAAGGGAGAGGGATAGAGAATTAGAAACATCCATCAGCTGCCTCTTGCACACTCCCTACTGGGGATGTGCCCACAACAAAGGTACATGCCCTTGACCGGAATCAACTCGGGACCTTTCAGTCCGCAGACGAATGCTCAGGGCCATTTCACCGGGTTTTCACAACTTTTCCTATTTTTACAATTTCCTTTTAATTTAAGGCTCTCTGGTGTTTGGCTTATTTGCCTATGTTTGTGCTACTGAACATCTAGTCTTCGTTTGGGGTAAACCAGGCAGGAAACGCGAGTTTGTTTTGAGCAAAACCAAAATGTGTGACAGGTGAGACCGAGGGGGCCCAGGTGAGAGGCGACAAGTGCCTCCAGAGAAGGTGACAGACGTCCCGCTTTTGGCGGGACAGTCCCGATTTCGGATAATTCGTCCCGCGTCCCGCGGCGTTTTAAAGAAGTCCCGGTTTTCTTTTTAAAGATTCTTTACAACGGCGCGGCACGCGGGACAAATTGTTCAACAGCGGGACGTCTGCTCACCTTCCTCCGGCAGAAACTCCCCGGGGTTTGCCAGGACCCGCCGGGCAGGCAGCGCCCACCCCATCCCTCCCCACACCCTCCGCCGCGGGGCTGCATCCCCCGGGCGCCCTCCGCCGCCGGAAGAAGGGCCCAGCGGCCCGGGGCCACGGCCGCGACCCGGAAGTGCTTTCCCCCCGCGGCTTACCACGGCCGCGTCCCGTCCGGGCCCCTGAGCGCCGCCGCCGCCTCGGACGCACCTGTGCTCCCGCGCGGGCTCCTCTGCCGTCGGGGACCGGGGACGGGGACCGGGAACCAGGGACCTCGAGCGGGAGGCGGCGGACGGAGCCCCACAGCCCTCGGGCCCGGAGTCCGGTGCCGGCCGCGGCCCGACCCTGACCGCGGAGGCGCCGGGGGAGGAGCCCATGGCCCGCGCCCTCGGGTCCCGCCTCTCCGCGCGCGTTTTACCTCCTGGGCGGGCGCCCGGGGGCCCCACGGGGAGAGCTGCGCCCGCCCGGCCCGCGGCCTCGCCGGACCCCGGAGCCCGGAAGCTGCCTCCCCCCGGAGCGCGTCGCCCCCGCGCCGGGCTCGGGCCCCGCGGCCGCCCGGGCGGAGGCCTGGCGCGGGCTCCCCGCCTCCCGCGCTCCTGCCGCCGCCGCCTCCCCCGGCGTCACCCCTGCTGGGGCCCCTTCGTGGGCACACACAGCGCCACCGGGTCAAACCAGGTGTCTTCCACCATCACGGCCACAGCGCCTTCCCCTCGCTTCATTTTATTTTATTTTTTTAAATTGCTTTGTTGATTAAGGTATCGCATATTTACCCCCCCCCCCATTCCCATCCCAAACCCCTCCCCACGCATGCCCTCAACCCCCTGTTGTTCATGCACACTGGTTAGACTCACGTGCATGCACACCATCCCTCGCTTCGTAAGGATCATGGACAACGGGAGGTTCCCTTCCTCCCCCCTAAAATGTATTTGGATTTTTTAGAGAGAGGGATAGAGTTAGAAACATCAACCAGCTGCCTCCTGCACACTCCCCACCTGGGACGTGCCCCCAATGAAGGTACATGCCCTTGACCGGAATCAAACCTGGGACCTTTCAGTCCTCAGAGGATGCTCTATCCACTGAGCCAATGAGCACCATCCCCGACCTGCTCCTCTCTCCCCCTACTCCCCATCCCAAGCCATCTCTAGATGAAAACCACCGTCTCCCCAGAATCTTCACCTTGGAGAACTGAGCTTCCCTCTCTGTGGTTCTTATAATAACGAAAATAAAGTTCTGC